GAAAAAAATACTAATTTAAGTGTAGGACTATGCTCATAACCAAACCTTTTGGCATAGCAGAGCTAGATCTCTTGGGCTGATGCTTAATCCTGCAAAATATTACAAAATAAGTGGGGCCAGTTTTCACAACAAGAACAACTAGATCTTCCATGGATGTAGCTGCAGCAAATACATTTTATAAGAGTTGCATGAAACTCTATTGCAACAGTCTAAGAAAACAATATTACCCCTCTGGGTGTGTTTGGTCTGAAATGTTCAGATCTTTCATGAAAATTATTTCTCAAGATCAAAATTAAAACCAGCCTTCTGTTTTCCTACCAGCATGTTTGTCTTCAAAGAATTCAAGGCCCTATACAACTATAGATCTAATGTATCTGAAATATATCTACATTATACAATAACAATATACAAACTGATATAAAAATGATAAAAAATTGATCAGGTCTGCAAAATCTAGAAAAAGAGACCAATTACAATTAAACCAAGGAGTTTAATAGTGCAGAAAAAGATTGTTAGAGTTACCATTAGCTGCTGCTATAGCAGACATACTAGCAACCTCCACGGAGGCAGAAGAAGATACACCTTTGCCTTCTGGAACTGCAGAAGAAACCTGTAAATTCATAATATTAAACATTTATTATCTGGAATTAGAAATTAACAACCAGCATTATCTGAAGAAGCTAATTCTGTCAAAGAAAGTGATGGCAACAAAGAAAGTGAACACAAGGTGGTAGTTATGAATTTAGCAACAGATTTTAAACAATGAAGAACACCTCTTACCAGCATGCTGATACTATCCTCAAAACGTACACCTAATTCTGTCATCAAAACCAAAATTGTCCCAGCAACATATGCTGCCCACCTGAAACATGGAATGCATAATTTGCAGAAAGAGTCATCATCACAAATAAATCAAGCAATATGAACTACCCTTACTTTTGGGATGGATCTCGGGCAAAGTATTCCTTTGCTTTTCGATATGAAATTGGTTGCCCTTCATCCATAAAATCTGATAAGTCCATGTCAAATGTTGGACCACGATTGCTCAACTCTGAGCCATATGATACCTGGTGCAACCAAAGTGTAGATAAGCATCTAAGTTAGCAAGCATATTTATAACTTCAGATGCATGTCAATTCATTTTATTTTGCAACCAAGAAACTTCATTTGATTTGGATTTGATGTATTGCATCCAATAATTTTCTTTTGGCACAATTTTATCCAACAATTATGTTATCGTATTACAGAAGCATGTTAGGATCTATGTCATTCAAATACCTCCTTCATTCCCCAGTAAATAAAAGAGTATTTTACTTTACTAAAGCCAAGTCTCATATGAAATCTGTGTAAGAAACAAATCCATTTAAGTCATTACACATACAATTTGCAGAACAGGCATTGGTCCTTGTCCTTTGGCACTCTGTCGTGCAAGAGTGTGTTTCCACAGCCTATGTTCACTTGGGTGAATCCTTTGCACAGCCACATGACAAGCTTCCCTTATAGGCATCTTTGAGAGGAAAAAATTGTTAGGAAAAAGCAGGTGTTAGAATTTCCAGCAATACATCTTGATAACTTGAATGCAAAATGCTTTAGTCATTGTCATTGTATATGCACCAAAGTAAACTTTGAAGACCATCTTTTAAGTCTTTATGTGAAGATGTTGACATCATGACAGAATAGGAAGACTGGGAAACAAGAACCTAACCTGCAATACTAGGCTTCCTGAGTAGTCAGCAATGCCTCCCATAACATCCAACCTTCCAGGTGCTCTAGCCACGAAAATATCTTCCTGGATAAAATTAGCATTTCAGTGTACAAACAAATCCAGAATTTCTCAAGCTCAGCTGCTCAGGCAAAAAAGTATTACTTAGCCTTAAGTGATGGAAATTTTAAAACAAGAAAACACTATCTCATAATCTAGAGCCAGTGTTCCTGTTTTGGTTGCCCCCCCCCAAAAAAAAAAAAATCTCTAGAGCCAGTGTAATACATGTAGTGTATCCTTTTTTTAATCACACAACTTATTGCATAAGACTTATTCTTACTCTACAAGTAAAATATGAGAAAAATGTAAAGAGCAATAATTTTTAGATGGAAAGAGCATGACCTCTGAATTAAACAGTCCAGCAGCAGCCTTACGTTCACGCATTTGACGCTTTTCAGCATTCTTCCCTGAATCATAAACAGCATCAAGGTCTGCCAAGCTCTTCAGGAAAGCCATTGTATCTGAAAGGCCTTGAAGATCTCCATGAAGAATTTCAAAGTCTTCAGTCCATCTAAAAGTAGAAATGGCTAAATGTCATAAATAACATAGTGGATTCTCTCATTAACATAGGAATATGCAAAGAAAATAAACTCACGAGGTCATTAGCAAGTTACTCCCACTCATCTCAGCAGGTGGTGATCCAGCACTTTGACCCAACTCATTTTCTGCATTTGCATACCATTCAGGGATGCTGAGGTCCCTTCCAGGGACCCTTTGTAATTGATAACCAAGAACTATGGCATCACGTAACCTCCTTGCGCCACTCAACTATATTACAACAGTAATGCAATAAGAAAATCATGTTTTCCCCCATTCTTGGTTGATCAATTTGCATTATCAGATCTTTTCAACTTCAGATACATCCACACATAATTAGCTGACATTTTGCAAAATGCATTTGATTATAGAAAGCATTTCTCAAAAGTCAAAACCCAATTTAAATTTTGATGCCAACACCATCACTAGGAAAGAAATGCAAAACTGTATACAAGAAAAGCAAAAAAGAACAACATAATCACAACAATGAGTCAAAAGCATTTACCTTATCTGAAGTATAGTTTTTACCAATTGCTGTCTCCTGCAGGATGTGAGCTGCCACCTACAATTTGCACATTTCATCAGATGGTCATAAACTTGAGTTAACATAACAATAAATTGCTTACAAAGATACAATATTTTTCAGTAAAGATATACATTTAAACTGTTTAGCTAATGCATAAATCCTTAACACAAAAATTCACTCAAGAAATGAAGAGAGGTACCTTGCCACCATTTATGCCACCCTCATAGCAAGGTTTCAAACTAATAGCACGTTCAAGATAAGGTTTCCAATGACCAGTGAGTAAATCCCTACGAATCATCTCAACACCACCTTGATAGTACTGAATAAAAGATTATACCTCTTAGCAGAGTTAAATTCTTGTTTATCATGCAAAGCAAGTATACCAAGAAGAAGAGGCAAATGAAACAGGTGAAGATTAAGGGAAGGAGCTAACTGTACCTCAAGCATATTTCTTAAGAATGGTTCCTCATTGAAGTAATCTCTTCGTACAAAGACAAAAGGCAACTTGTATGCCAAGGCTTCACTGACAGTACCATATCCAATTTTTCCTGAAATAGTAGATATACTATAAAATTGTACTTGTTGCACATCTAATCCACTTTAACTACAAGAATTTTAATACTAACCAAGCATGCAGTCAGATGCTGCAATAAGATCAGGAGTATATGCATCTTTTGGGAGTTTTATAAAATTTGGTGGAAGATCTTGTGTATCAGATGCACCACAAACCTGGGTTTAGAACAATATCCAAGCTCAACATAAAATGCATAAACCATAATTTGGTAAGCACAGTTTGCGGTTTAAGAAACATGTTACAAAAGATACCAAGCACAGCCAACCAGACGGTAAGTACTCCTCTTTCAACTTCCATCCAGCAGGCTGCATGTAGAAATGGAGTGAGAATGCAATAACTGGATTCAGTAACTGACTTATTAAACATTATGCAAAGGGGAGTTAATTTTCCCTACACATGCAGCTAGCCTAGTAGTACTGTCCACACATAAGATATAAGAACAAAATGGCCAGACAAAAGATATAAAGTATTTGTGTACAAACTTCTCAAATGTGAAGGTTGAAAACAGATAGAGAACTTCAATCAGTCAATTGGCTAGAATAAGACACTGCTTAAAGATGACAAACATTTTCTATGATGGCCCAATTGTCATTATTATTATTATTACTATTATTTTTCTACTAGTAGCAGAAGCAGAACTTATTACACTTCTCTCAACAAATGACAAGCAGCTTTATTTTTATGTTTAGCCATCAAACCAACCTGTCCACCAAAATTGAGAATGACTAGCTTCACATCTTCCCGAACTCCAATTTCCTTCCTCACCTATGGCCAAGAGTTAAATATCAACAAACTAAACCTAGAGTATGGTTAAAATTACAATATCTAATGGCATTGATGCTGTTTTGTGCCAAACCTCTTTGCGGGATTTATGCAACCTCCGCACAACCAGAGGCACGTCAATAACATCACGGAAAGCAGGCACTAAAAAAAAAGGGGGGGGGGGGTTTAGTTTGACATCAATTGTCTGACTTATTGCATAAAACATATATCAAGCAAGGGTAGCTAAACACAAAGAAACAATCTCTATATGATAAAAGAATCAACATACTTGGACAATATCCTGGAAGACGAATGAGAAACTCACAATGAGAATAATCCTCTGCTATCTGCAACCATTTTTAAAATATTTAGAACATTTATCATAAATCTTGAATAATCCTCTGCAACATGCATTCCTTTTTAAAAGATTAAGAAAATTTATCATAAATATAACTGAAAAAAGAATACAAAACTTTATCTTCATGAGATGCTAATAATTCAAGACCTATAATTCCCCTACTACTAAAGCCAAAACAGTTTAGAAACTAAAAAGTTCTCCTTCATCAGGGAAATAGCACCTGCCAAACAATTGAGCGATGATGATGTCCAGCAGCCATCACATACTCTGCATAAATGAAGTCCCAGCTGCAATCGAAGATTGATATCAATAAGAAAAAGATGATAAAAATGGAAGCAGTTTAAATCATTAGCATCCCTACATCCTTGATTTCTGTTTCATCAGATACCATGGTTTACAAGGATGACAAGTAAGAAAATTAATTTTATTAATCGAAATCCTATTGGTTCCTTGAAAGAAATGCCTGTAACAACAACTTACC